TATACATATATATATATATACATATATATATATATATACATATATATATATATACATATATATATATATACATATATATATATATATATAATAGAAAGTCGTTCATGGCCGTCCAAATTACCCAGAAACAGTTTGCTAGAAGACCTCTTAATGCAGAGTCGGGAGGTTTGGTTAAATCCTGTCATTCCTTAGGCTATGATCTATTAATCAAATCATTAAAATAAGATAACCTTATGTTCAGTTTAATGGTGATAAAAGACCAAATGCTTTTATTAAGGTTACGATTAAAAAATATAATTAATATTAATATCACATAAGGTCCATACTTTGCACTTACCATTTCAGTCGATTTATTATTTTTATTACTAAAATATGAGTACATTCTTTTTCTTTTCTCGAATATCTCGATATCATCCATCATAGTTTTATGTCTCCGCATCTTATAGATCTAGTCATATGATGAATCGATTCCATCTTTATAATCTTTTTTATTATTTACTTGATTCGGTTTAATTTATTGGATCAATTCTTGATAAGTTGATGTATTGAACCCAAACAAAAAAATCAAGGAAAGATGAGGAAAAATAGAAGAAGAATGATGTTGAGATATCCAAAAACAGGGGTATTTCGTATAAAAAAGGATGTTATTTAGAAAAAACCAAAAGCGAAGAATTTTATCGGGGAATTCATCTTATATATATTTTCAAAAGATAATAATTTTTTATTTGCCTTAGCATGCATATATCCTTGAAAAGCTTATTATAGTTGTAGGAACGAGATTATAGTTGTTCGCTTATTATACTTGAAAAGCTAAATTTATATTAATATTTTCCTTGAATATATTGAAAATATAAATTTTAATAATTAATAGAAGTAATAGAGAATCTTTTAGGTAACTTAAATTTTGATTGATGTTTTTTTTTTAAATACTTTTCAAAAATTTTCACGTGACGCTCCTACTTAAAATTTTTTTGAAACATTGTTATTTTTTTAAGATGATCATTTTACTCCTATTGACCATCACCTGTTCATGCCTCTACTTCATCAGGTAGCCCCCTTCCACCCTCTAAATAATCATTTATAATTATTGTTATCATTGTTGATAAATCAATTCCTCCTTTATCAATTGCTTTCGTTGTTGCTATTTACAGCTCACCCCCTCTCCTCAGTTTATAGTTCTTGTCGTCGACTATAAGGGGGGAAGGAAAGGGGGGGAGGGAGGCTAACTATAGAGGAAAAATGAGAGAATGAACAATCGTGTATTTTCGTTATTGATTATAAGGGAGGAAAGATAGGGGGGCTTCGTCTTTGCCCACGAGTCCCTCTTGCATCGTTGATTATGATGAGGAAGAAGAGATGTGATCCATGTGCTCTCATTATCAATCATAGGAGAGGAAGAAAGGGAGAGAGGTTCACGCATTTGCCTTCATTGTCACTTTCTTATGAGATGATCACAAGGAAGGTGTGCAATAGCTTGATCGATATAGTCACGGATGCTATTTTAAAAAGGAAGGTGTGCAATAGCTTGATCGATCGAGTTGGCGACTATGGATCCGATAATTTTTTGATATAGTTACCGATGCTTATTTTAAAATTTTTAAAGTTGAAATGTGTTATTCAAAGATTTTAAAAGTAAATTTTTTTCCACGAATTCGCCCAATTTTGATGATAATCATGATTTAACTTATTTTTTAATGGATATTAAGGACGTAAAATATATGAAATTTAAAACCGTTTCACGATTAGGCTTTATTTCCCCTTCGTTACCGCCACTCTCGTCCTTCCGCCGCACGCTGCCCCCTCGTTCTCGACGCCGCGATGGACAAGCCATCGTCGCCACTGCCGGGAAACACGATCAAGAAGCAGCGAAAAGATAAGAAGAAGGCGAAGCCTCCGAGGAGAGGAGAAGGTCCAGAGTCGGACCAGCTGGACTCGCTCCCTTGGAACGGGTCCCTCGCTGCCGATGACTCCTTCTTGCTCCTTGGTGAAAGCAGCGAAGGAGGTCTCCTTTACCCTCCTCCTCGCCTTCTCTTGATCCATCGTGTTCACTACGATATGATTATTTGATTCTTTCTTTTGGTTTCTAATTTTTTTCTCTGGTGTTGTTGGTTTAGGGTTTCTTTCTTTGGAGGAGATAGACGAGTCGGAGTACGGGTTCATTGGCGGGATTCCGGATCTCGAAGCTGGAAATAAGAAGAAGAAGAAGAAGCTGTACTCCGACTTGAAGTCGAAGAAGAGGAAGCGAGGGGAAGAGAATGGAGGGTCCGATGGTTCTTGTGTTGTTGATGCCGATGAAGGTGAGGAAGAGGCTAAAAACAAAACGAAGAAGAAGAAGAAGAGTAGAAGGAAGAAGAGGAAGGGAGTTTCAGATGAAAGTGGGGAGCCGAAGGGAGAATCCACGGTGGAGGGAAGAGACAAAAGTACGTCTAGTTAAACCTCTTCCTTTTTTCCTATAAGAGTTAACATGAATTTAGTATTAAAAATGCATAATTTTATTATTTTGTTCGCTAAAATTGTTTATTTTAACACTTATTTTTAACAATTATTTATCTTCTTTGCAATCTTATCTTTATGAATTCAGATTCTGTTGAGTGGTTTAGGGTTTATGACACCCAGGATAAGAACATATAACGTTTTCTCATTCGTAGCATTGACTTGTTTCTGCTATTTTGATTCTTGGTCACAATATCTGATGTATCATTTTTACCAAAATTATAAAATCAACTGTTTTGTGGATAGAGTTCTGCCAAACCTCTGCCTCTGTCTCTTCAGAAATATGGATCCCAATGATTAAGTTTTTGCTCTGACAGATAAGCATCACAATAACTTTGTTGGTGATGATGGTAATGAAAATTTGATTCTGGATGAGGATGAAGTTTATGCATGGAAAGAGTTGAGGCTTCATCCCCTTCTTGTCAAGTCAATTCGTCAGCTTGGTTTCAAGGAACCCACCCCAATACAAAAAGCCTGTATTCCTGCTGCTGCCCATCAAGGAAAGGTTGGATTCTTTAGAATTAGTTTTGTCACACATTCAACTGACAGATTAACTATACCTTTTGTGTGGTAACTTTGTGTTTTCCTGTTTCGATAATCAATCATTAGTTAGTTAGTAGTTGATAATTGATGACATAGGCCAAACAGATCAAGGCTAAGAGGAAATTGACCTAGGTAACATTTTTCTATTGTAGGTAGTAACATTTACCTTTTCACGAGTTATAATGTTTTATGAGACCTAATCGATCAATTTCTCCTACTTTTATTGTGAAATAGGATGTCATAGGTGCAGCAGAGACAGGTTCCGGGAAAACACTTGCCTTCGCACTACCTATTTTGCAGCGCCTCCTCGAAGAAAGAGAGAAAGAAGGTAGATTGATCCATGAAAATAGAAATTCAGATGAGAAAGTTTTCAGTGGAGGTCCTCTTCGAGCACTAATTATCACTCCTACAAGGGAACTTGCATTACAGGTGCCCATGTTTATTTCCAAAAGTGTTTTAGTTTACCTATTACCTACATCATAATAGCTTGCACAGGAATTAACTATCTTTTTTGAAAAGAAAAATAAAATTAAACAATTTGATACGATTGAATTTACATTTTTAGTTTATTTTGAATTTAACGTTTTAGGAAAATGTGGTTGTGTTTGTCGTTGTGTTCCTTTTTCCTTGTATCTTTTTTTTTTCTGCCAGCATTTTGGAGAGGAGATAGCATTGAGGCGAAAGTTCGGAGACTAACTTTTATATTGGATAATGGATTAGTGATTACATTTCTTAAACATGATATAGAATTTGTTAGCAATTTATAGATAAGGATGCTACTATAAGACTTGGATGACGTTGGATTCCAACCATGTGCCTAGTTCTCTAGATTATATGGACAAATCTAGCCATGTTTTGGAACACTTATGACTGACCAATAATGCAAATTCAAGAAACATTGGTGACAACATTCACAATCTAGTTGTGGGAGAATTTTGATGATATTTTCTAGTGTACTTTATATACAAATAAAGTATTGTTCTTCACTAGTTTATAGTGTTATTCGAGTTAGAAGTCATGGGCATTAGTGTGAGGACATGCCTTAGCATAACAATAAGGTTGCTTCTTTCATCTTTGCAAGTTGGTTGACTAGGGTTCAAGTCATGGAAACAATTTCTATTTGTAAGGTAAGGCTTCATCTGTTGGCCATATTTCCAGACCTTGCATTGGCTCCGGACATGGGTAGGACTACATATGTTGAGATCCTCCCTAAACCCCAGATTGGTTGGAGCTTCGTGCTCTTGTCGATTCTTATAAGTCCTTAATGTTCATGCTTGAATTAAGGTTCTTTTATGCAATAAAATTAGTTAATTTAGAAGTTTAGCTTTCTCATTGACTGTGTTAGAGGCCTTCTTAATTGCAGAAAACCTTGACAGGAGTGGTATATTCTATCAGAGTATTTGAATTTAATTTATTTGAGAATTAAATTTGAGATTATGTTTGTCTACATCAAATTGATGAGTTTGTTCAGATGGCTACCAGAAGGTTTAAGACTTGCTTCTGAATCCAATTCCCTTGTTTATGTTTCTAAGTTCTAGGGAGCAAGGGGAATAACTTAATTAGTACTAGATAAATTGATTGTTTTGTTTTACTTTTTTGGAGTCTTTGGAAGGCAAATAACAAGAGTAGGTACAATCATGTTTGAGTTGTCAAACTATTTTGCACTGTTGATATATCTGAAACTTAATTTCTTTCATGCATGGTCCATTTCCTTCCCATGTTAGGCAACTTTCTTGTATAATGATTGCGCTTGTTTTCTAGATTGTGATCATTATGCACAGTGTGGTACTGCCTCCTTGATCACAGTAAGAAGCTTATAAAAAAAGGTTGTGCATTTTGTTGGAATTGGGAGGTTCAATTAAGAATCAGTTATTAGTTTAATTTTGGTTGGGTCATTTATTTGGTCAATTTTCATCTGTGGAAGTTGTTGGTTCAAAGGTTTAAGATCTCATTTATAATTATGAACTTAAGATTGTTTGCCTATGGAAGTCTCCGTGTTAGTTTATTTAATTTTTATTATTTGTGACTTGATTGAGGCAAATATTATTACTTGGAACACTTCATTTTTGTTTCAGTTCATAACAACAAGATTGACATCTATATGTTTCTATGTTCTCCATTCCTTATTGATTTCTTTCTTGTCTACAATATTATAATCAGCTACAGTTTACTTGTGTTTGTTTTAAGCATGTTTAGAAAATAGATAGGTCACTGGAATCTGTTATATATTTATTTCAGCGTCAGTTGCTTGGTGGTGGTTGTTTTAGGTTTCTGATCATCTGAAGGGAGGAGCAAAATTTCTTGATATTCAAGTAGTCCCTATTGTTGGTGGAATGTCCACAGAAAAACAGGAAAGGCTTCTAAAAAGGAGGCCAGAGATTGTTGTTGGAACTCCAGGACGCTTATGGGAGCTTATGTCAGCTGGAGAGCAACACCTCGTGGAGGTTAGTATCACTGATGCTTTAGCAAAGGTCATTTTTTGTCACTATTTCATCAATTCTGATTCTCCAAGCAATCTTATTAATTAATTGATTTTATATTATGATTTTTTGTATGGGGGAAGATGACGAAGGGTAACAACACTGTTTACTGCACTTAGTTTTGGGAGTTGTGGTTGGTCATGCTTAGGAAAGTGTTAAACATAGTCCAAAATAACATTAAATTGATGCATCTTTTGTTTTGTGGATTTTTCCATGTTGTATTCCCCTTGATTGCAAGAATTTTAAGGGACCTCAATTTATTTATTATGTGCTCAGGAGTTGAGATGTAGGAATCATATAATGAGGAAAACTTATTCATTTTTTAGCAAAATCATTTTTTGGCTGTGCTTTAGCCATGGATTCTTACAACCTTTCTTTTATTTCAAATAATATAAAAGCAATTAGTAAATTTAAAAATTAGATATTATGTCTAGATATGTAACTTATACATACTTGAGTAGATTGCATGGATCTTTGGCTTCGTCTTTTAATTTTTTTTGGATGATATGGTATGCTTTAATTTCTAAGCTTTAAATTTACTTTTGGAAGTGTTATGTCTTTGTGACAGTACTAAAATGATACAACAACAAAGCCGTAACGTCATAACTATTTGGAATCGGTTAATGGTTACATGGATCTTTTGCCTTATCTATAAAGAGTCATTTAAATCTTTATCTATATACTATTATGGTCTTCTTAAGTCTTCCCCTACCTCTTTGTCTCTCCATTGTAATAATTTCACCTCTCATCTATTGGTTTCCTTAGCATGTGTTCATATTATCTTAAACACAATACTAAAAAGATGGTAAATACTAAATACAATAATGAAATGGTGGTATCCAGAAATAAACCGAGGATATCTGCATATAGTGGGAACATTGCTTTATTGAGATGTATTTGTCTAGCACATACATAGTTTGCCATAGTTTATGGCTGATATAAATATACTTGACACTATGTAATGATGGAAATTGACCTAATGATTCTTCTAAATAAAATATGGAGGTGACAAGTTCACATATTGTTAAGGGGATCCTTCCATTTAGATAACTGATTTAGTAAATCTCAATTTAAGCAGTTCATTGAGAGATTGTGATCTCATAGCTGGAAAATTCTTTAGTTGGTGGTGGATAGTAAACTTCTTTCTATCATTGTATGATTATATTGGTGAGGACACCAGCTTGTGTGGAGACAAAACAACGTGATGATAACCTAACATGGAAGGAGAAAGAAAATATTTTGTTAAAACACATCAGGTTCACTGATTAGGCCGACTAATTGACTGTTTGCAAGGAAAATGTTATTTATATTTGTAGAAGATTGCTTTTGTCTCTGCATAGCAAACTTTTGATGTTCTACTTCTACATGTAGCTCATTAACAGCTAGAAAACTTCAAAACGGCTGCTTGATTGATTGTGCGTCTTATTGTGTGCTAAGTTGTAGTAATGATAGTATTGACAGACATTTCAACCAAAAGCTGATGTTAAATTTTCAGAATTTTGGTCCCACCGAAAATTATTGTTATATATTTTTTTCAAAATATTCTTTTGACAACACAACTGTTGTTGTGATCACTAAACTACTTTCTTGTCCATCATAAGAACTGAGCAGCAGGTATATTTCTACTGTTGTTGGAGCACATGAAGTAGTATTAAAAAGCTGGATAGTGGAACTCATAACTTATCCTTTCACTCAAACGGGTGACTGTCCTTTATGCAAATTAATTATCCTTCAGATAGAATCAAACATGGACTTTTATTCTCTGCTAGTAGCTTCTGTAATTTTCACTGCTTTTGCTGACACTAGTGTGCCATTTTACAGCTGCACTCATTGTCCTTTTTCGTGCTTGATGAGGCTGATAGGATGATAGAGAGTGGCCATTTTCATGAGTTGCAATCTATCATTGACATGTTACCAATGACAAATGGATCCATGGAGCAAAATTCAAAACCTACTGCAATATGCAAAACCATTCCAACTTTACAGCGAAAGAAAAGACAGACATTTGTGTTCTCTGCCACAATAACCTTATCTGATAATTTTCGCAGAAAACTCAAGAGAGGATTGTCTAGTTCAAGACCATCAGTGTCAGATGGGCTAAGTTCTATAGAAACACTTTCAGAGAGAGCTGGAATAAGACCTGACGTTGCAATAGTCGATTTGACAAATGCTGCAATTTTGGCTCATAAACTTGAAGAATCATTCCTCGAGTATTCTCGTTGTCCCGTATCCTGATTTATTTAGATTTTTTAATGGGTGTTAAATTCTGCAATCATTCCCTCTTATCTTTTTCCAATCTCATGTGATTTGGTCATATTGGAACTCATATATTAGACATTTTGAGTTATGTTTTTGTAGTTTTGTCTATATTTATTTATTGAGCAACCAAAAATACCTTCCATGACCATAGTTGTCTCGTGAAGTTCAAATATTATGTATGCTGTGCAGATGGATGTAGGTCATTTCTAGCTGAGAGAATTTATTTCCTTTCAAACTTGCTTCGGTTATTGTCTATTATCAAAAACCTTTTATGAATGCTAAAAACTTGTTGGTGTTGGAGATGTGGTTTTAAATACCTCAGTATATCATCAATATCATACTGGCTTTTGATACCGTACCAAAACACTGATGGATCATCCGGGATGTTAGTGCCAACACATGCGACTAATTTTTGTTATTTTGGTATTGTTACGATGGTGTACCATATTGTCCTGGCCAAACAAATTTTCAGCATGGTACTGGTATTTTGAAGTTAAAACAATAATGGGACATACATTATATTTACCTGTCAGGAAATTTCAACAATTTGAATTTAGCTGCATTTGTCCTTTCTTATTTGCTCTTAGCAGATGGCACTTAACAGGTGCATCTGGGTAGAAACTTTTAACATTTAAATGCAGGTCTATTTGCTCCATACACTGAAGACAGAGATCCTTTTATATGAGCATAAAGAGGTTCTTAATAGAGAGGTCAATCACCAAAATGGATTAAAGAGAAATGCTTTTTGAAGTAAAAAAAATGTAGTGGTTAAGAGGATTAATAATTTTTTTTTTCTTTTGGCATGAGAAGCAATTTGATAGACGAATGTTAGTATTGGTGGTTTTTGGGCGTTACCCCTGTTTCTACCTTGGATTGCCCAAAATAGGGCGATCTGATTCTTGGTCTCTTTCTCCATGAACTTTAGCATATGTTTTTTTTTTTTTCAAAAATAATAGAAACCATATCCAAATCTTTCTTTTTTAAATATTTTTTTAATTACCTCAATAAATAAATAGTTTCTGTGATTGATCTTCCAGACATGAAACTGAGTTAGTTTCAATGGTTCTTAGAATTTATTCATCAAAAGAAAATTGCGTTTATGTATTTGCTACCATCAACCATCAGTTATAGTGCAAAATAGGTATGGAGGACAATATAAATAATATGATGCAATTTGGAAAATTTGGTGCTTCATTGACATTTCCTAATAGGGTCTGTGAATTTCGACTTTCTATCAGCACCGAGAGACATCTTATATTTTTAAGTTTCAGTTTGTTAACAAGTTCGAAGAAGCATGTCATGAATGTTTTGTGGCAATCATTGTAATCACAACTCCAGAATAAGAAATTCCAATTTGACCTTATTATAAACCGAACAGAGACCATGATATTGCTTTAAGATAATTTTACAGAGAGTAGCTGTAACTTGAAAAATCACCACTTACAATGGCCTGACTGCCACATAACAGATACATGTTTCATTTGGCGCATTACAATTTCTTTTGTCTCCCTTTCTATCATAAACATAGTAAGTTATGTTTAGTTAGCTCAATTATTGAGTGTGTGGATTTCTGTGTTTCATTTGTAGAAATCAATATTTGGGTCTCTGTATACAGTTGACCAATTCTTCTTATCTCATCTATGATGAGATTGAATTTTATGTCATTATGTTTTCTATATATGTCGAACATCATAAAAGAACATTTCGACATGTTCCTCGTCATGAATCCCAAAATTCTAGGCTCAAATTTTCTTACTTGAGATGCTTAGTTATTGTTTGGTTACTCATGTAAATTTGATGATGAATTAATACAAATTACCGAGTGTTGAAAGCATTCTGGAACTTGCAGATGCGAAGAAGAAGTTAAAGAGGCCTATCTATATTATATATTAAGTGTTCATGGCCAAGGTCGCACTATTATTTTCTGTACATCGATTGCAGCTGTACGACGCATTTCTTCCATATTGCGGATTCTTGGCATCAATGCTTTGACCCTTCATGCTCAAATGCAACAAAGAGCCCGTTTGAAGGTACTAACTAGTAACTACTTTAAGAATGGAATATATGATTTGCTTGTCTATTATAGTTAGATACCTCACTAGTTTGCATAACAGTCGAAATTGACTTACAGTCCTTGTCAAAAGTGCTCCTATATTTGGAATATACTTGTTGGGTTTTGTAGGCCTGCCATTATAGCTAAATATTATTTTAGCTTGCCATGTTCATAGGGTTGGGACGAATAATGTGTGGAACCTGTATTAAGATGACAGTCCAGATTCTTGGTTTTAAAGATGGAACTCTGATTTGCTGATGGAATATGCAAATGTTGGTTTTACTGTTCATGATGTATTCACTTAGTATCGATTATTATCTGATCATATTATATGTACACTGCTGCTTAATCAGGCAATTGATCGTTTTCGTGGAAATGAGCATAGTGTTTTAATTGCTACTGATGTTGCTGCACGAGGCCTTGATATTCCTGGCATCCGAACTGTTGTTCATTTTCAATTGCCACATTCTGCAGAGGTATGTACTAGGTTATGTTCCTTGTTAAACATAATTATAACATTACTAACTTGAGCTTGTTATTGTTATTGTTTTAGGTTTATATTCACAGAAGTGGAAGAACAGCACGTGCTTCTGCAGATGGCTGCTGTATTGCATTGATATCACCTAGTGATAAAACTAAATTTTTTGCCTTGTGCAAGTCATTGTCTAAGGTGATATCTTTAGTTTCTATGTGATACATGTATTTTTAAGTTGCAGCTTGCTGTGTCCTAGTTCTGCTTTTAGAGGGATAGAGCAAACCATAATACTTATCTTATAAGTGCATCACGATCTAGTTAATGCGGGTAATAATTTTATAACATTGTGAAAGTACTAATGCTATAATCGTCAAATTGAGGTTCTCAAATTTTCATACCCTGGTAATTTAGAGCGCCAGATCCAATTTCAACTTGAAGATGCCATTATGTGGTCTCTCAAGCTTATGCCTAATTTTAGCAATTGCCCTCATTTGCAGGAAATTTAGTCGTAACAACCCTCATTTAGGGTACAAGATCACGTACTCTGTACTGTAAATTGACTAATAGTTGAGCCCAGTAACTAGAGTCAAGACATTTGTGGATAGCTCGGGGACTAGTTTTATATGTAATTCACTATTTATTGTAGCAACTTACAATATACGGTAGAATATTTATGCTTGTTTATGATACTTTGTTTTCGTTCTGTCTGATTGCATCAGTAACTTAATCTCAAAGAACTTAATCACTTTTTGTCTGTTTCCAGGAAAGCCTTCGACAATTTCCTGTAGATGATTCTTATATGCCTGAAATATTGAAGCGGTTATCTCTTGCCCGTCAAATTGACAAGATTCTGCGGAAAAATTCCCAGGTACCAAAACTTATATATGCTTATTTGTGTGGTCTTTAGGAAATTTTTATAAGGTTCTTAAAGCTAGGATATAACTTTGGGCTACTTGGCAACAAAACCATAATGTACTACTGGAGAAAAGTTTAGTTGTAAATAATAAATTATTCTATCTACTAAAAGATCTGAACAAGTTCTATTGTCATTTCTTTTATTTTTTTGTAGATCTACTCTACTTTAAAAGAATATGATTTTACACTCTTTTGGTTAATTGTCACATGAGACTTCCTTTTTTATGTATTGGTTCTAATATGCATAGTTGATCTATTTCATATCTTTTAGTTTCTTGCTATTTGTGAGCTCCATGGTTTGTGAAATTGTCCGTACTGGTATGAACCGGGTTGTAAATACCGGTCCGATGGAGAACCAGGATATGGGCTAGCTCATGTTGGGTGGTTCAAGTCCAGATCAGGGTTTTCATTAGTTTATCTTTGCCTACAACCTGTATTAACCCTACAGATGTTTGAGGCCTAGTTGAAGGAGTCTTGAGCCCTGTGCCTCGTGCCTCTCGCTGTCCGTCACTGTTGGCCTGCCGTGGGACCTGTTATCCTCCTTTGCTTCCTCTTCCTCCACCTAGTCCTGTCCTCTGCACCTCACCTTTACCTCTTCTTCTCCTCCGTCTAGTCCTCTCCTGATCCTGCACTTTGACCTTTTCTTCCTCTTCCTCCTCCTCCCACCCTCTTCAGTGCTAATTGGTATGCCAACGTACCGTGAGTTGCGGGTCAGCATTGCCATTGTTGAATGTGTTCGGCATGCCAATATTTACCAGATCTGTATCAGTGGGGTCCAGTTAGCAACCAACATGGGTGGGTACCAAACTTTTAATTATGGTTAGTCCATGCATTTCAGTCTTATTTTAATTGATTTGGATATGATAGTTGCTCAATTCAGAACTATGATTTACTGCTTTGTATTTGAAATTTAAAGAAAAGAGAACTTATGCACTGAATATGGCATCTCTTCTAGTCAAATTATCATCCGTTGGTTAACAACTGCATAGAGGAAGATATGATGCAAAAAGGTTGGTCAGTTATCAAAATCAGTGAGGTTTAATAATGGGGTGATCAGACATTAGCTGTTTGTAAAAGCTTTGCTAAGTCCAATACAAAATATTGTTAATTGATATGCATTTATTATCTTTTACCTACTAGTGTTTGTTGATGTTAAATGAGCATTACTACCAAAAGATCTTGTTCTAAAAATTGACAAATTGCAGTGAGGAAAATTTTAAAAGATACTTTTTATAATAATTAAATAATTTTTCGGATTGGGATGGGGGAAGGATATGTTTGAATTGCTAAAGCTAAAAAAAGAAATAGTATGGATTTAGGTACACAAAGGTTGAAGATCAAAAGATACTTGTGGAATGATTAAGAAATTAACTTTGTAAACTATTTATTTAATGGGCATTCTATTGGTAACTTATTTTTAGATGGACAATAGTGAAATATTAAAGAATATAAACTAGAGTACATAAAGTAAAAGAAGAATTTAAACAGATAAGAGAGCGGGATTTGATAGTATTCCTGTTGAAGTTTGGAAAAGTTCAAGAGATTGATGAATAATTTGGTTAATTAATTTGATTAATAAAATTTTGAGAATTAGAAAGATGTCCCATGAATGGAAGAAGAGTTTTCTAGTATCAATTTATAAGGATAAGGAAGATGTCTAAAGCTGTTCTAATTATATATGATAAAGATAATTAATCATACTAGAAAACATTGGGAAAGTGATTGAAGGTGGAATAATATGTGGAATGAGTACTTTTGAGAATCATTTTGGTTTTATATCGAGATGATTGCATATAGTTTTTATTGACTTAGAAAAAGTCTATTATAGATTAGTTAGTGATTTATTATAGTGGATTATAGAAAAGAAAGATGTAGCCACTAATTAGATCAATGATATAAATGATATGTATGATAGTATACTCATTATTATTAGAATTTTAGGGAATATGCATACCTGATAGTATATGATTACTTCAAGGATCAACTTTTAAGTTTTCACTTTTTTTTTGTTAAAGGGTAAACGGTGAAGAACGGATTTGAACCTAAGACCTCGCTATCAACCATGAAAATCTACTAGCTGCGTAGTTAAATTTTTTTTTTAATTATCGAATAAAGTCTCAAACCCTTAGTAAGTAGGTATCATACACCACCACTAGACAAATGTTATGTGTTCTGTTCACATTGGTAATGGATGGATTTTCATATACCGGATAAACCCCCTTGGTGCTTGCAATTTATTGATGATATTGTTTCAATTGATGATGGTTCCGATGGAATGAATTCTAAACATGAGTTATGGATATAAATCTTAGAAATGAAGGTTTTAAATTAAGCATATAAAACAGTATGTATTAGATATAATTTCAATAATGCTAACAGAAGAATTGATAATGTATTTAAGATTAATTGCCAAATAATTTTAGTAGGTAAATATTCTGGGTATCTTGGATCGATTATTGAACAATGGGAATTGATGATGATGTTATTCACATTATAAAAGTTAGATGGTTACAATGGAGAAAGGCATCGAGTTTTGTATGACCATCTGATGTTCTTTAATTTTTTTAAAAAATTATAAAACAGTTACTAGGTAAGTCACTTTATGGATTTGAGTCTTGGTTGTTAGGAACGTAAATATACAAAAGGCTTATCACTGAGGTGGAATTATTGAGGCAGATGCGTGGGTTGCTAGGAATGGAAAAATACTTTTATTTGTGAGCATTTAGGCATAACTTCGATTGAGAATAAAATAAGGAAGTATCATTTAAGATGATATATGTATGTTTGAAGGAGACATATACATGTTGTAATTAGATGACATAATTAATATTACTTATGTAGAATGAGAGAGAGGGAGACTAAGTCTTTCATAGAAACTATATATAAAAATCTAAATGTTCTTGTTTTAACTGAGCATACTGTTTGTGTATAGCTTGGTAGCAAAAAGGATCCAACTAGCTGACCCAGCTAGTTGGGAAATTAATGTTATTGTTATTGTTATGTCTGTCGATTGCCTGGATCTTCTACCTGATTGATGACATGATAGATGATTTTTCTGATTGAATTTCATTGAGCTGCAATCTATCCTTAACCTCGTGCTATGGATATCAAGCGTACTGTACCAGTCTGACTGATTACTATATGCCTGTATCACAATATATCCAAACTTCGAATAATTTTTGATCTTTTAGTCTTTTATGCATGTATAGGTTTGCAGGGTTCGTCTATGGTATTGGAATTAAATTTTAACCCATCTCATGAATCTTTTTATTTTGTCATTAGTTTTGGAATGATGAAACAAATTCATGTAATGTTTAGCATTGATGTTTGAGTTGTCTTTGGGTTTCATCATCTTTTGGCTTCATATTCAGGAAAATGTCAATAAGAGTTGGTTAATGCGAAATGCTGAGTCTTTGGGCTTGGAAGTGGTGGAGAGTGCCAGTGAAGAAGATGTAGTAAATGGATATAAGCAGAAGAAAATTAGTTCCCTTCAATTAAAGAAGCTGCAGCAGGTATTTTCTAATAGTTTCTGTTATTTGGCGATAATAATTTTGGTTGCATGTTTAAACAACAAACATGTGTCTATAGCTATTTGAACTTAATTGTTGTTTATTTTTGCCATCTTCATCTGAAAAGTTATGCTGAATTTTCATCTTTTGGGTTGTGTGCGTGTGTGTGCAGGAGTTGAATGACCACTTAAAACAACCATTCCAACCAAAAACATTCTCACGTCGCTTTCTGGCTGGTGTAAGTTTCCTATTTGTTTTCTTGGATATATTTGTTTGTAAATACATTATTTGTGTAAGAATTCATTGCATCCTGAATTTTCCTTGGACTACTAGTTCTAGATTTCTATCATATGGTGTTTTTTGAATATTTTTGTTACGAATGGCTACCAAACCTTATATACTAAGTTTTTCAAGCAACAGCTTAAATAACTTGACTCAGCTAAAAAGTATGACTTCCTTGACTAACCTAATAAATTATTTGATCAAGTGGAATATGGCATTAAACTTTCAATGAAGTAACGAAGCTTTCGATGGAGTATGACTACAAGCTATGTGAGCAGAGTTTGTGGTTGAGCTAGTCACTGGTATGGTGTCATATTTTTCTGTTATTAAAATAGCAACACCATTTACCAACTTTGCTACTGCGTATTGGACTTGTTTTTAAATGATTGTGAGCTAATGATGCTGAACTTGTTCATCTTGGCTGCTATTTGCCTTGTGCATAACCTCTGGTCAACTTGGCTCAAGTTCATGCATTTAATGCACATTGTCACTGAGTACATCAAATGCTCCAAAGTGTAGCTGATTTGTGGCTCTGACCTGTTGATGATGTGTCACATCATTTCTAAGACGATTGAGCACAAAAGGCAACCTATGCAGCCAAAGAGGTTGCCTCTATTATTCGAACTCTCATTGCTTAGGAAGATGTTTTACCCTTGTACTAAGGCTTAAACCTTCAGAAGAAGGCTGGAGCATTTTTGTAGAACCAATAATGGATTTCTTGGCAGTTGATACTGTATTTCTGTGTAAGACATCTCTACATAGAGAGCATGCATTACACCTAGTAAGCTCTAGTGACCTGGAGGCTTGTCACAGTGGCTTGCATCATTCTCAGCTTGGATTCCTTTCCTCCTTAAATTCCCCTAAAGGAATTATATATATCATATGATGTGTGGGGTAATTTCATCTTTATGGCATCACAAAAGGGTAAGTTATAAGCTTATAGCCCAACTAGACAGAGCTTTTAGAGTGTTTATCTTGTAATTGCAGTAAAGTCTATTGGCTCTGGGCAGTTTGTACCTTGTTCCAGGTTAGCTGTTGTATAGATGGGATCAACTGTTTTATCATTATTGTCCAAGTGGAACACTAAAGTAGAGATGGGCATGCATGGGTGCTTTTTTGTGCTAGATGAATTTACTGATATTTGATGTTCAGCTTTTCAACTTTGACAGTTTTACTTGGACTCTCTTGTCATCCCTGCAAAATGTCATGGAAGTAGTATGGAAATTTTTTAAAGTAAAATTTGGTCTTCTTAAATTTCATGTTCCATACTAAAATATGTATTCTGTATTTTTGTGGTTGTTTCATGATCTTTAGTCAGTTGCAGACTATCTGGGGTCAATGATTTCCTTTTTTGGATTATTTGCAAAATGCTACTTAGGTGTGATGCGAATTATTGCCATCTTCTTTTCAATGTATTGAATTGCATTATTGAATTTTTCTAATTGTGCTAAAAGTTTTATGGAGTGTGATACAGTCCCTGCATAATGTTATGTACTGTGTGGTTCTGCTTGCAGTCCCTTTGGAGCAAGTTAGATGCAAAATTGAATGGATATTAACAGCATTGGAATTCCTAAATCTAAATTCATCTTATTGCACTTTAGAAAATGCAATTTGTGAGGGTTTATGCATCTGTACAGTGTTTATATATATATAATATAAATATCCAATATTTTAGATGTTTGCAAAAATTCTAGATGTTTTAGTGAAGTATGTTTTTGTTTTCGGAATTATTAAATTTAATATGTGCCGAATAAAAGCATGTTAACTTTTGTCGTCATCATGGAGATCATCTTTTCTAGTAGCATTTGTGGTTTTTATCAGTAGAAATCTTGGATTCCTAATCTCTTATTCAACCAGTGTGCTTCATAGTTATTGTATTTGGATTTCATCAGGCCGGTGTTTCTCCTCTCGTTCAGCAGCAACTTGAACAGTTATCGAAGATGAACACTGTTGATGCTAACAACTCTAGTAAGAGGGCTGGTTTTGTGGTTATTGGTCAGGATTTTGTTGAACCACTTCAGGCTCTTCGCAGTTCTGGTCATGAGGTATGGTGATGTAAATTATAAACTGGTTTTTGTTTTTTTATTTTTTTACTTGAACACCTTTTCTGACATTGTTGTAACTCTTTTCTGAAGTGACTTTTTTAGTGCCTACTCATTTGCAATGCAAATTATCTGCATCATTGATGCAGCTTGATATTTAATATTTACTGGAATTTTGATGTGAGAACATTTCACGCACCACTTCACTATACTTCACTGAAATTCTTTGATGCTGATCATATCATTAATGTATGTGATTTTCGTGGATCCATGTCAGGCTAGTTAAAGGAATTTGGATAGTTTTTTAGAATCTAGATGAATCTCAGAACATGAAGTTACCAAATTTCTACTCCAATTATCAACTTTCTGTCTGTGGCCTATTTTGCTTTGTGTTAGTAATCGTGCAAACCGAGTGAATGCTTCATATGAACCTATCATATTTGGTCTGTTTAAAAAGTGTCGGATCACAAAAATTCTGGCTTTTCTGTTGAAGATGTCTTGGACTGCAGTAGCTTTGGTTTCTCTAGAACTATTATTTGCATCTCCATCCTTCTGTATTGTTTCTTTGTTTCTGATTTATATGAGGTAATAGTTTTTTAGTTATTGCTGTCAGTTGAGGTCATGGTTAACGACAAATCAACTGAATTGTTTTAACATTAAAAAGGACAATATTTCTCCTCATCATTTGCTTTTTGTTGGTACGCATTCAAGAATGTTTTCACAAGAGAGAACTTGTGCTTTGTTGAACTAGTAATAGTCACCTTGACTACTTAGTTCATCATTGCTGAATTTCCTGATGATTTATTTGATATATTTATTATAGTTCTTGAGAATTTGATAGAGAGCTTTCAAGTTGCCCAACTCATCATGGGTTGGGAGATCTGTTGCAACAATCTTTCCTTGGTGCTTTATTCTCATTCTTTTTAACAACCTGCCATTTTTAACACTCTCGCCAGGTTTGTGTTAATGTAGACAAAAAGAGAGAAACGCGAAGGCAGGCTGAAACCTGGAAGCGTAAAAAGAGGGATGAAAAAAGGCGTACGTTACACTCTCTCTTGCTCTAGCTTCTAGCTTTTATTGGTGCACTATTTGTTTGATTATAAGATCTGCTTCTTATGCACCAGGTCAGCGTGAGAAACAGAGAAAAGATAGAAAAAAGGCGAGAGAGGGTATCAACTAGCGTATCTTATTGGCGAGTACTTGATCAATTAATATCTTGCCCTAAAGATTACATGTACTGTTTACTTTGCCACATTTCATATTTGAATTCATCCTTGAAGCAAACGGCTTCAGATTAAGTATTCACGGAGGAAATGAGATGGACATTAAACACTAATAAAAACAAGGTGTCTCAGTAGCATCATGGAGTTCGATCTGCACTTTCAGTTTGGAGCTCAGAGATCAAAGTCTTAACGGAAGTTGTACCGTGCAACTTTTGGCATTGATCGCCAAGTCTAGTCAGAAAATTTTGATTTGAGGTTTGTTTGGTGAAAATTTTGGCACTTTGTTCATGATATTTGTTGATTTGGTTTCTGTACCTGTGCGCATTAGCCTTCTCGTATCTGTTTATTTCCCTTGCGCTTAACTGTCACCAGTTCCACCACCTCCAAGAATACTATGATATCAGTCGGAACATCAATATCATAATATCTGTTGTATTATTTCTCAACGGTTTTGGAAGAACATCAATCCAAATCTAATACTCTTGTTTATAATGTTATGCTGATGGTTCAACCACTCCTTTATATTGCTAATATTCCTGCAGAAAGGGAAACTCCAGACCCAAACAACTTACACAGCATTACATATCTTGGACTCCAAACTAAACCATACTCTACTTGCCAACTCCACCTTAACTATCCAACACAGAACACAAACATCAAGATCTACCCATGCACGCACTCTCCTCACCAACTCCTCTCTCTCTTCCTCACCTTCATCATCAGGCCGTTCTTCATGTGAAGGACTATGGAGAGCCTGGGTTCCACCACATGCCCCTTCACCACCTCAAAGCGAAAGCTACGAAGCATGGCGACGGCGACGGTCTTCATGATGGTGAAAGCCATGTCCTTCCCCAGGCAGATCCTCGGCCCGCAGTTGAAGGCGAAGAACTTGTGCGCCGGCTCGTGCCTGAGCTCTCCAGTCTCCGTGATCCATCTCTCGGGCTTGAACTCCGCGCAGTCCTTCCCCCATATCCCCTCCATTCTCGCCATGGAGTAGAGGTGAAACAGTAGCTTCGTCCCGGGCCGCACCTTCTCGCCACTTGGCAGCGTGTCGGGCTCGGCAACTCCTTTGTGCTGGATGGCGCCGGGCGGGTACAGCCTCAGGCTTTCGCACAGGGCTGCATGCAAGTAGACGAGCTTCCCCAGCCCGTCTCGATCGAACGGCGCGTTGGCGTGTAGGTCTGTTCTTGGCCAGTTTGCTTTCAGCTCCTCGAGAATCTTCTGCTCCGCCTCCGGGTGCAAGGTGAGGAGCCAGAAGAACCAGGTGAGACCGGCCGCGGTGGTGTCTCTCCCGGCGAGCAGTAGGTCGATGGCGTTGTCCTCGATGAACCTGTCGAATTCGAGCCGGTTCTTCCCGTTGGGTTGATGCATGTAAACGGTCAACATGTCGCCTGCTGCTTCTCCCTCTTCGTGTCCGCCATCCTTGTGGCTTCTCTCCCCGTTGATCTTCTCTTTCCTCTTCGCGATCGTACTCGCCGCGAAATGGTTCATCACCTTCTGCGCCACGGCCATCTTCCTCTCTTTACCCACTCCCAGCCACCTCATCGCCTTCCAAACACTCATCGGAACCGTGTGCCGGAAAAATATCACCTCCAGGGCGTCGTCCAACGCCTTGGCAAACGGCACCACCGGGAAGCCTTCGGCGAGGCATCCGGGATCGACGCCGAGAATCAACGAGCAAGAGACATCGAAGGTTAGCCTCAGGAACACGTCCTGAAGGTCCACTGCGTTACCTCTCTCGGCCACGCCACGCAGAAGAGGGAGGAGCGCCCCCTCCACCTTGTCTCGGACAGTGTTGAGCTCGTAGTAGCGGAAGTTCTGATTGCTCATCAGGCTATGCGTCATCCTCCGCTGCATCTTCCATTCCTCGCCGTCGGTGTTGATCAAGCTGTTGCCAAACATGTCGAAGATCTCCGTGAACTCCTTCCCCTTGGGATAGTTGGAGCACTTGGCAACGAAAGCATGGTTCACGTTAGCCGGATCGCACGTCACCAACATGTCCATGCCCAGGAACCATGGGCCTTTGAACATGAAGGTCCAGTTGGACGCGGTGAGGATTTCTACTCCATATTCATGGACACCATGGATGCGGGATAATAAACCAGGAAGCATGCCGACGACGGGCCAGTCCACCGGAAGCTGGTTCTTCCGGCTTCGGTATATGTAGGAGGAGAAGAGTAGGAGGCAAGCAGCAGAGAAGAGTATCTCAGCAGAGAAGAGGAAGCTCAGTGACCAGCTCCATGCCATTGTCGCTCTTGAGCTAAGCTTTCGAAGACCTTGGTTTCTTTGGAGTGAGAAGTTCCAAGGTGCACGGTAGTGCGTTATATAGAAACTTGAGACTAGAGAGAGAGAGAGAGAGAGAGAGAGAGAGAGAGAGCATCTCAGACATGGATCCATCTGTTTGGCAAAATCCACAGCATGCAATAATGTCTGCAAGAGTCAAACTCATTGCATTTGGCTTTTAAGTGGCATTGAAAAGGATTAATTACGTCACGTCACGTCGTTTGGTGGGCGTTTGTTCTTTAAACTCAGATAACAAATAAAAGCAAAGACGAGGGAATCTTGTCATCTCTCAAATTATGTGGGAAATAGTGTAATGTTCCCAAAATATATGATTCAGAACAATAATTGTAATTGCACGTAAAGAGTACAGACTTTGTCCAAGTCATGGATAAGATACGAGTTCTCTTATTTAGGCTTAGATTATGACAATGGCACTTTAGAAGTATATGGTTGAACGTCACTATAAGTGCTCTCCAAGGACTAGAGATGTAGCAATCTGATCATGAGGTGGTGGTGGTCACGGATATAGTCAACGATTGAGTCATATAGATATTGATTTAACATAAAATATTAAAAGATATTCTGTTTATACGGTAGAATATTTCTTCTAGTTGAATCAATTATAAAAGCCATTAGATCATAATAATCAAGATTTTTATTTTATTTCGTTATCAACTTGTCGATTTATTTAAGTGCTTGAGGGACCACATTAAGAACTTCATCCGATCTCGATCTCAACGTAAATCAATTTTAATCGAACATCTCATATTTTTTTTATCTCTCTTGAAGATTTCTTATCGAATTAAATTAAATTTATCGGTACAACATGAACATCTTTTACATGAACATCTGAGCGACGATGTTGGATGAATAACTGGGCCATTATTTTACTCTTCAAATTTTCGATATCCTTTAGCCATATTGATATAATTTTGTGATGTTTTATTGATCATTTCCAAAGTTTTAGTCACAAAATTATAAATCATGTGCATACAACTTGGTTATTATTATACCATGATTAGATATCAACTTAGGTCAAGTCTTAGATCATTAGATTATTGTATAGTCGACATGTCAAATTGTAAGTTTAACTAAGAATAGAATATAAAATTATACTATTTTATAAATATAAAAACGTGGTTAATTAATGAAATTAATTGAGAGAACAATAATTAAGAAGGATGATAGGGGTGAATTATAAAATAACAAACGCAACGAGAGAGTGACAAACATAATATGATTTTCTTGTCTTTCAAATTTACAATGAAAAATAATTAAACGTTCTAAAAAAAGTTAAAACAATTTTGAGGTTACTTCAATCTTTTTTAGATCTAAATGATTTCATCGAGGATCTATTTTTTTTGTCCGATCCAATGGGTTTTGTAGCAATCATCCATCATCAAATTTGAGTTAAAACTTAATCCTAGTTGTTGAGCAATATTATATACGCACATATAATTTATTGTTTGGCCAACTTGTTCACTATTCACTCTATAAATTGCCGCATTGCAATTCGTTGGCTGGTAGAGGACTGAAAACTATATGTAGTGTATGTACATTGATTCAAGTTGACTCCTTCGGAAGTCATCAATGCATGCGTTTCTCAACGCTTAGAACAACGACGTCTCTCTGTCCATTTGACTGCTCCTAAAGTCGTCGATTCTAGTTGACTTCCTGTCATGACTTAACCTAGACCGCAGTAGAAGAATGATGACAGTTGATGCTTTCATGAGTCTCATACTAACCGCTAACTGATAGCTACTCAAGTATTTAAATCCCTTTTATATCCATATTTATTTTCCTACTCGAATTAGGTTCCGACTCGATGTTCAAAGAAAGAGAGGAATCGATCGATGGAGTCTGAATGCTTTCCGATCTTTCGATGTATCATTTGAGATTTTACAAAAGATGAAGATCAATATAAGCCCGACCTAGTCTCATTATTGTCTAAATCAATTTGAGATATAGAGAAAATATATAAATATAAGATAAAATATTTATTAAGATATTTATGAACGTAACCGTCTACTAAATGGCATCAGCAAAGATGACATAAACCTCCTACTGAGGTGGCTCAACAACTACCTATCGAGTGGCATAACGACCTCCTGTATGGTTACATGGCACTATTAGCCACTGAGGTGGAGGTGTTGACGTGTAGACTTTGGAATGATTAGTTTTATCCTCTATCAACGTGTATTGTTTGAAAAAATTCCGTTACGACGGTTATTTATAACGATTTATTGAGGGAATAGAAAGGTTGGTTTCAAGGAACAAACACAAGTGTGACGATGTGGTGCGCTTCGACCCCTCAGCCGACCGTCACCCTCAACGAGCGAGTCGTCTTCCTACTGGGCAAATGCACCACGCTGAGCCACCTCAAGCAGCTCCAGGCCTTCCTCCTTGCCCTGGGCCATGGCCAGACCCAGCTCTACGCCTTCAAGCTCGTCCGCTTCTCCGCCCTCGCCCTCGCCGACCTCACCTACGCCCGCCTCATCTTCGACAGCCTCGCCTCCCCCAACGTCTTCCTCTACACCGCCATGCTCACCGCCTACGCCTCCCGCCCCGACTCCCACGCCGCCCTCCGCCTCTTCGCCCTCATGCTCCGCCGAGCCCGACCCGGCCCCAACGAGTTCATCTATCCCTGCGTCCTCAAGGCCTGCTCCGACGGCGCTGATCTCCGGCTGGTTAAGTCCGTTCACTCCCGCGTCGCCAAGACCGGATTCGATGGGTATGGCGTGGTGCAAACCTCGCTTCTCGATGCTTACTCTCGGTTTTCCGACATGGCCGCCGCTCGTGCTCTGTTCGATGGAATGCCTCAGAGGAATGTGGTTTCCTGGACAGCTCTGCTGTCTGGATACACGCGGGTCGGGCAGATCGGGAAGGCCATTGCCTTGTTCGGGGAAATGCCCGAGAGGGATGTTCCATCGTGGAATGCAGTTATCTCCGGGTGCGCCCAGAATGGTCTCTTCTCGGAGGCAGTCTCTTTCTTCTGTAGGATGGTCCTGGAGGGTGCACGGCCGAATCAGACGACTGTGTCATGCGTGCTCTCTGCTTGCGGACACCTTGGTATGCTCCGGCTTGGGAGATCGGTGCATGGTTATGTCTACAAGAACCACATGGAACATAGTCCCTTTGTTGCGAATGGACTAATCGATATGTATGGAAAATGTGGTGGCGTGAAGAAGGCAAGTTGGATATTCTCGGCATTGACCGACAAAAACCTTATGTCCTGGAATTCTATGATCAATTGCTTGGCTCTCCAAGGACACAGTGGTCTGGCCATCGCAACCTTCAAAAAGATGGAACTCACTGGCCCTGAACCTGATGAGGTCACTTTTGTGGGTCTTCTAAATGCATGTACTCATGGAGGGTTGGTGGATGAAGGGCTTAGTTATTTCAGATCCATGTTTCAGGACTATAAAATTGATCCCGAGATCGAGCATTATGGCTGTATCATTGACCTCCTTAGCCGGGCAGGTAGATTTGATGAAGCAATGGATATTGTGAGGGACATGAGAATCGAGCCTGATGAAGTCGTGTGGGGTTCTTTGCTCAACGGTTGCAGGATCCATGGCATTAGAGAATTGGCTGAATTGTCAGCAAAGAAGCTGCTTGAGATTGAACCTAATAGTGCTGACTATGGAGTCATGCTAGCAAACTTATATAGTGAATGTGGCAAGTGGGAAGATGTAGGGAAGGTCAGAAAGATGTTGAAGGAATTGGGAGGAAAGAAGTTGCCAGGGTGTAGTTGGATTGAGGTAGAAAAGAAGGTTCACCAGTTCTATTCGGGCGATACAGTCCACCCTGAGGTTGAGCAGATTTATGAGCTCTTGGATGAGTTAGCTGGATTGATGGAAGCGTGATCACCTGTCTCCCCACAGAATTTGCCAGATAATGGTGAAGTAACAAAAACTAGATGATGCATAAAGAATATTTTTGCTGGATTTATAAAGATGACTTCTGTAGAGGAGGGGGAAAATTCGAGAGTGACAGACATAAGTCTCATCTGATATAGAATGATCCTTGATTATTAATATTGAATTTGATTTTTGGTATTTGGTATAAAAGCAAGTAAGTTAGGCTAGTTTTGTATGCAAGGAAAGAGAGGCAAGAGACAAGTGGTTTCCTTCATCCATAACGAACAGCACAAGCTGGGTTGCTAATCCAGGCTATGCCAAGCAGCAGAGGAAGAGGCCAACAAGACCCAAATCAGCTTTAGCACTAGCTGCTCCGGTTCTGTTTCCGGACTTCAGCAGGCCTCCCAAGCGAGATGACCAAGGTTCTTTGCTGGTGTGTTGCATAAGAAAGGCAAGATGAAAGGTGGCAGGGACTCATTTCGCCTGTTACTGAAGGTAGTAGTGCTCCAAGCACTGATTTGAGCCCTGAGTTGCCTCAAGGGGATCATTGTGACATCACATTCATTTTTCAGGATGTTGATCTACCATAAAAGAGTACATTTTCAGCCACGGCAAACACATTTGTACTGCCGACAACCTTCAAATACATGGTAAATTCTTTGTACCAATTTGACAAAATACATACATAGATGTTTACTGCTATGGTTGTCAAGGAAAGCTATCATTTCTAGCTTGAGAAATGAAATATCTAATATACCATTTTTTTACTTAAAGTTTATTTTGAAGAGAATCCAAATTTCATATTTTGCAAATTGTAGCAAATGAAATACTGAACTTGATTGGTAGCAACTAAAAAAAAATAAAGTTCGTTTTTTTCTGGCTACACTCCTTTGTTGTCATTAAGGAGTCATTCCTTAATGAGCTTTCTGCAGAATGTTTGGATTACTTCAAAATTGTTTTAGCTACACTCTTTACTCGTTTTCAGTTCTATATCTTTCTATTTAGTGAGCTTTCTGCAGCATGTTTGGATGCCCAGCGGAATAAATTATACCAGGAAATGTCTTTCTAACTCTTAATTTAAATTGTCCCCTTGGTAGTAGTTCAAAACGATCTGCAATTTATTGTGATCTGT